TACCTTGCCTTGGAGTCAGCCGATTATAGACTAAAACCTCTACAAACTGTAAGCCAGCTTTTCCTCCTTTAACTTTAGGTGTCAGATATTTTATATCAGCAATGAGAAAAAAAAATAACTAAGACACATACCTTGTGTGTCAAGGAACTGTGAGCAAAATGGAATTTGTCCCTAAGGAAGTCAGGATGAGGACAAGGGCTGCAAAACTGTGTCTCACAGACAGTATGTGAGAGAAAGGCAGAAGGCCAAGACTGGCAGGCTGCAGCTTCCAAGATGCAGAATCTGTCAGAGGAAGAGGAAGCGCCCTGCTGGTGTAACCTCACAGGTGAGGATTGTGATGGTTGAGGCCTCAGGTAGCACTTTGCAGCTGCAGGTAAGAAGACCCTTTCTAATTGTTGGATCTGTCCCAAGAACTTAAGTAAGAGGGGCGTTGTTCAGTGCTCCAGCCTGGAGATGTGTGAGTTAAAGTTGCATGAGGGGTGACAGGGGATGTGGGATGAAATGGCCCTTTAAGTAACCTCCATAGAGACCATCTCCAAGTAGATACGGGTAAGTTAGAAGGGGTGGTTTGAATCGCTCCCATGCCAGAGATTTTGTCTGACAAGCAAGAGGTTATGAGTTCAATTCCTGGTACCCCACACACACGCCAAAATTTGTGAATCACTCCCAAAGAAAGTTCCACCCAGTGGGCCGCTGGTCATTTTGACCTGAGGCCTGGAATAGGTGGCCAGAGCAGAACTGGGAGAACCCAACAGCAAAGGCTTCCTCCTCCTCCTCCTCCTCCCCCTCCTCCCCCTCCTCCTCCTCTTTCACCTCTCTTCCTCCTCCTCCTTGTCCTCCCCCTCCTCTTTCTCTTTCTGCTTTCTCTGGATCCACTGACTCCCTTAGGACCACAGAGTGTGCCAGAGTTTTGAGCCAAGACTAGCCATGGTGAGAAAGATGACCCTTCCTTAGGTAGCTTTGCTCTATGAAAAAAAAATGGATGCATCTCACACAGTGCACTCTCACACATGGACAGATGCCCCATAGGGGAATCTGAGAATGTCAAGGCATTGGGATCAGAGTAAGGCTTGGGAGAGTTGCTTGGCCAGTCTTCTAGTATAGATGTGGTCTCCAGTCAGAAGGGAAGGCCACCCCACAGTGTCAGTCCCCTGGAAATGCAAACCCAGGATCCTGCCTTCAGAAGGTGCCTTTGCCTGTGGTTCACCCAGCTACATCTGCACAGGGGGCTCCTCTAGCGTATCTGGGCCACCCACATATGCAGCTTTAAAGGCAAGTTGCACCTTTGCCACTTAGGCCCAAGAGAGTTCTACTGTTAGGGGAAAAAATAGTGTGGGAAATTTTCCAGCCAGAGGAAATCCACATCCAGCCTGGCGGAGGCCTGGTCTCTCCCATGGGAGCCCTTCCCAGGGATTTTGTTCTCTGCTGTAAAGACGGAGTCTTGGAGAGTAGTGTAGCAATGCCAGGGAACCAGGGAAGCCAACAGATGTGACTCCAAGCCTGGTTGCCTCCTGCTGGCCTGTGACTGATCCTGTCCCTTGATACCCCCATCCACATGGGTGGATAGATGGGACGTATCCACACCCTGACAGGTGAAGAATTTAAAGTGCCCAGAGTGTGCAGAAGGGTCTCCGTCTCTCAGAGAGAATAAAATAGAACTAACTCATGGGGTTGTGATTCGCCACTCTGGGCCAAGTTACCGTGGGTACTGCAGGATGTTTTAATCCTAGAGGGAGACAGCAGTTCTTAAAGCTGTCTACAGTGTCCCAGGTACTGGCTCACTCAGTCACAATCTCAGCATCACATTGCTCTGCTTCCCTTTTTTTGATGCCATATCTTAGCAAAGCTGGGGTTTGAGCAGTTGGGGTTACCCCGGGACAATAACAGGGATGGCAGTGTCCACTCCAGATCCACAGTGAGAAGTTGTGCCATGGCTGACACACACATATCCTCGTTAGAAAACCATATGGCTATTTAGGAATGGAATAAGAACATTTTTTTGTTTTAATTAAGGCTAAGTATTTTTCCAATGGCTGCTAAGTTCCTATGCTATAAATACTTATGGACCATTTGGATTCAACTCCTAAATGAATTCCAAACCGTTGGGACTTTCATTAAGGTCCTGAATACCATAGAACACAGGTACTGAGATACTAAAGGGACAGAAACATCCAGGCACCTCTGCAGGTGCTCTGAAGGGCTGGGATATGTCCTCTGATCGGGGCCTGGCAGAAGACTCCAGAAAGTTCCTTCATTCCCCCTCAGGGGCTGGCTCGGGTCACCTCCAGGGTGAGGCCCCTCAGTCAAGCTCAAGCCCACCCCTACACCAGGGCTAGAAGTGAGGGCAGGGCTGGCTCAACTCTGCAGTGACCACACCTGCTGCGTGCGGGCCAGCAGAGGTGACCTTTGATTCATTTTCCTAACCCCCTGGCATTGTCTGCCTCAGGATGCCGCGGGCATGGGAGCAACCACTGCATAATGAGCCATCTGGGCCAGTATAGAGAGGCCTCGAAGGGGACACTGGGCCCACATCCCCTCGCAGGCCAGAAATGCAGGCTCAAGCTGGTGGAGTGGCCGGTGGGGTGGGGCGGGGCCAGCGGGGCCAGCACACTAATGGATGTCTAATGTTGTACTCCTCCGTCCTCCCAGTCTGGGCACTTTATAAATGAGCTGCATTAGGGTCATAAAACAAAGTCGTAAACACAGCCTGCAGTGCCGCAGGGGCGGAGGTGGTGTGGAGGGAAGATAGGGGCAGGCTGTGTGATATGTACCCCAGCGGGAAGGGGTCCCCGCTTCCTGGATGTGCTGCCTGAGCATGCAAGGAGCTGGTGAGGTCAGGGTGTCCAGAGCTTCAGCCCTGCCGTCCTCCCTCAGGACCAACGGTGTCGAGAGGTGGCCGGGGCCTGGCTGGTGCCCTGCTGCCCACCTGTCAGGAGGCCTCTGTGGCCAACCCAAGGTGGGCATGGTGACCAGCTCCCAGCACTGTGCTTGGTCACTGTGTGTCTCAGTGTTCTGTGCCGCTGTCCACTCATCAGGTGGCCTTGGGCAAGTCATTGGCACCACTTGTATAATTTTTGATGTCGTCAGCTTTGAAGTGAAAACTACAGTCCCAGGCTTGCTGGCCCTTTGATGAGAGAGGCCGTAAACTGTAAGGTCCTGGCCAGCCTCGGGATGTTATTAGGTTTCTCCACTGCAGGAACACCCACAACATTACAGCAATCAGGTGAAGAGTCTTGGGGCATCTCCCAACTGCTGATGTCTGTTTGTTGGGTTCTCCTTGGCTCAGTCTGTCTCTCACTAGCTGTGTGAGCTTGGGCAAGAAGCCTAACCTCGCTGAACCTCAGTTTCCCCATCTATATAATGGGGATTAGAAGAACATACCTTATAAGGTTGTTGGGAAAATTAAATAGCTAAAGGACTAAAGCCATAGCACTGGATGCTTAGTAATCACTCATTCTTTTCATGCAGCAGCGTGTACCTACTGTGTGCCACGTCCCCTTCTCAGAGCAGCACAGGACTCAGGCAGCCTGTCTGAGTCAACCAACATTGAAGAGTTGCTTCTCATCCCACCTGGCAGGGTTACCCTCCCCTCCCTCTGTTGGTGGGTCTGTCTGTCCATCTGCATCTCACGCATGCATGCACTACTCGTGGCCTGTAGCCGGTGACAATGATGCATCATCCCCAAAGCCACCCTGTCCTGGCAGGGTGGTCCACAAAGAGAAAGTACAACCAGCCACGTTGTGCTTTTTCTGCTTTTGGAAACCCAGGCATCCTTAGCCCCTTTGCCTGGAGGGGGCTCTCTAGAGCCACAAGCAGCCTCCTAGCTGGAGAGCAGCACGTGGTCCCCACGTAGGTCTCCCAGACCCTGGTCCACTTGCCAAGTCTTACCTGACTGGTAAGACCAGAAGACATGCCCACTGCACAGCTCAGTTCTCTGTTTCCTCTGGAGCACTGGGTGGAGAAAGATTGGCACCCCATGGCTCGACCCCAGCCCCCTCGGTTGTCTGCATCTGGCACCAAAAGCCAATTTTCCAAAGTGAGTCGTAAGCCAATGGGCGGCCTGGCCTGGTTTCCTCCCACTCAGCGCGTCAGCGGGGACCGCCCCCTCCCTTCCTGTTTGCCTCACCTCCCGAGGTGCTGCTTGGTCCAGGGACACGGGCGTCCCCATGTGCCCCTCTGAGGGAGGAGACTGCCGTGGTGAAGTCCTCACATTCCCCCTGTGGATGCAGTGGCGGTGGGAAGAGGCTGTGGGCTGGCTGGGTCTTCTCAGACCAGGAGCCCAGCTCTGAGTGGAGACCCTCAATCCTGCCCCGAGGGTGCTTCGGCTTCCTCAAGGGGGAGGCCTGCAGGGGACCAAATGTCAAAGAGCTCAGACTGCCACCGCCACCCCAGCCCACTCCTTGCCCCAGGGTCCCAGCTGTCTCTCCATGTCGCCAGCCTGGCTGGCTGGGCTGCAAAGGGCAGTGGTGGCTTCAGGGCAGAGCTGGCCTGGTTTGAGTGCCAGCGTCAGTCCTGTTTCCAGCCTGTCACATACTATGGCATCACCACGGGAAATGGAAGTGAGGCGGGGCAAGGCAGGAGCAGGGGCACTGGGGAAGGCCGAGGGGTGTCCTCGTCCTGAGATCTGGCCTCCGTGGCTTCTCCTGCTGTGAGGGCGTAGAATCACACAGCATCACCAGGATGCAACCCAGCACTCGGGCTGAGGCAGAAGGATGGCTGCAAGTTAAGACCAGCCTGGGCAGCATAATGAAATCAAGTCCAGCCTGGATACATAGTATTATTAAGTAAAGAAACACAATCACATCACTGCAACAGGTCCTAAAGCTCAGCCTCCTAAAAGCAGGACAGGATGGGGAAATTGAGAACTCCAGAGTGCAGATCTTGCCCAAGTGGCCACAGAGCAGGACCTTGGCAGCTCTGTTTCCTCAGCGGGGCTTGCGGTCGGTGAGCACTGCCTGGGCCCTCCCTGCCTGGCCTCATGGGTTCTCTGTCCCCCACAGGTGCTGACGCAGGCAGTGAGGTGCTCCCTGACTCCCTCCCCTCGGTGCCGGAAGAGCCGCTGCCCCACTTCCTGCTGGAGCCACAGGACGCCTACATCGTGAAGAACCGGCCCGTGGAGCTGCACTGCCGTGCCTCCCCCGCCACGCAGATCTATTTCAAGTGCAATGGCGAGTGGGTAGGCCAGAGCGACCACGTCACACAGGAGGGCCGGGACGAGGCCACTGGTGAGTCCTCCCCCAGTGGGCACCCTGGCTGTGCTCTGGGTTCACCCTGGATCCAAATTCCCCAAGGCATCTGCTGGTCTCAGCCTGGCCTTCCGGTGACCGTGGCCTCTGCCTTCAGCAGCACCGAGGCCTTTGCTGAGGCCTTTGCTAAGCGTTTGTTCCCTGTGCCATTTTCTTTCTGTCCTCCTAATTGGATCAGGGAGCAAGTTACCTCCCATGGCTGCTAATCCCCAATTTAACAAAGAGGAGCAGGCCGCTGTCCCACGCCCCACGCCCACACCACCACCATCAAACCAGAATTCATTACCATCCTTACTTTTAAAGGCCCTTCTGTTTGTGGGGAGTGATACTGTTGTCCATTCCCAGCCATACCTTTGCTCTAGTCAGGTGTGGTGGCGATGACTCTAATCCCAGCACTTGGGGAGGCTGAGGCGGGAAGATCGAAAATTCAAGCCCAGCCTGGGTAACTCAGTGACTGAGCAATACCGTGTCTCAAAGTATAAAATCAAAAAGGGCTAGGATGTAGGTCAGTGCAAAGGTCCTAGGTTCAACTCCCACATTGCAGAAGGGAGGAAAGAAAGGAAGGATACGAGGACAGGGGATTGTTTTAGGTACCCCCCCAAAGTGGTTAATATAGGTTGACTATCATTTACTGAGATGCTTGGGACCAGACGTGTTTCTGATCTCAGAGTTTTCTGGACTTGGGGTTTGCATGGACCTCACCAGTTATGTATCCCTAATCCAAAAACTCAAAATTCAGAATGCTCCAGAACTTTCAGAGTGCTATGTCAACACTCAGACAGTTTTGGTTTTCTGAGGGTTTCAGATTTTGTTTTTGGGATGTTTGACCTCATAATATTAAGTAGGTCGTCATTCAGGCGGGGTGCAGCCAGATCCTAAGGCGGGCCCCCGGGCACAGCAGAGGGTGCAGGGCCCTTCCTCCCAGGTGTGCCAGCTGGGTCCTTCTCATTTTCAGGTCTCTTGTCTCCCCCTCTTTTGCTTGCCCCCCATTTCATCTCAGTGGCCTCTGTGTGTCTCCCTGTTTGTCTTAAACTGGAATCCAAGCATGAGAATCGATGCAAGTTCAAGGCCAGCCTGAAATTGTAACAAGACTCTGTCTCAAAAATCAGCAACAGAAAAATCCTTACGTCTGTCTGCTCTCTGCTCCCTTCCTCCTGATGTCCCATTCTCTCTCCTTTCTCCCTCCTTCAGTTTCTCTTGCCACAAAAAGTCCAAATTTTAGATCCATTCAGACTGAAAACCACATCCCAGAATGCACTTAAAGCCACTGAACTGTGTACTTAAAAATGACTAAAATGGCAAGTTATATACATCTTACCACAAGTTTAAAATAATTTTAAAAATAGATTTGAAGTCCCATTGTTACCCAGAATCTTGAAAAAAAAGAAACAAAAGGAAAAGCCAAACTCCCCACCCAGATGCTCACTGCGGGACTGTGGGCTTTGGGAAGGGACTGTGGGCTTTAGGAAGGTCACGCATGCTCTGTGAGCCAGAGGTCCCAGCAGGGATGGAGCAGTGCGGAGCCTGCACAGTGGGCCCAGCAGGAAGGGCCCGTTCTCACTGCCCTCTCTCTGGGCTTCCTCTGGTCTCTTTCTCTGTCTTCCTCTCACAGCCAGGCCTTGCTCTCTGTCCCAAGCCCCCCTGGCTGAGATGTCAGCTCTGGGGTCCAGGGAAAGCAAGGGGACCATGGGCTTCTTAGATCACTCTTCTTCATGGTTGTGACTAGGGCCTGAGGTCATTCATAGCCACATGGTTCCCGCCTCCTGCCACAGACACGCGGGCTTGCCAGGTGCAGGGATGGAGCACTGCTGTCCCTGTTAGCTCCCGTGCTGGACAGTGGCCCGCACACAAGGCTCTGCAGCTGTGGGCTCCACTGCCTTGATGCTTAACCCTGATGCTTAACACGGCAGCCTCAGCACAGGAGGGACAGCCAGCCACCCAGCTTGGGAGAGCTCAGTCCTCCTCCTGTGCCTTTTCTGGTGGGCGGCCATGGGGAAGGCATCCAGCTCCTGGGCTGCTGGCTTCCCTCTGCCCTGCTCTCAATTGCTCTGTCTCAGATAGAATCCCGTAAGAGGGGCCCTCCTACGGGAATAGCCCATCTGGACGTCCCCTCCTTTGGTGCCAGACTGAGATTGAATGCAGCACCTTCACACTGAGCTACATCTGCGGTCTTATTTCATTTTGAGACGGGGTCTCATTAAGTTGCCGAGTAACCCAGACTGGACTTAGACTTGCAGTCTTCCTGCCTCTGCCTCCCAAAGCACCGGGGTTACAGGCATATACCACCACACTGGCTCAAGATCCACTTGCAAAGTCACTCCTCGACAAGCTGCTTCCTGCCATCGCCCCCACCACAGTCAGTGATTACTCACAGTGGGTTAATCCCCTGAGGATCCGGCACCTCAGCCCCTACCACTTGTGAACACTAAAGCCCTCAGTGCATGAGTCTTTGGGAGACACCTTGCAGCTCCCCTTGAGACCCTGGCTCTAAGCTGGGGAACACTCTAGTGAACCGGTCCCCACTCTGCTGGCAGCTTGCCAGGGGACTCTGGGCTTGTCATCTGCCCTCACTGGCCTCAGTTTCTTCAAACAAGAGCTAGATGAGAGCCAAATACTTGCTGGAGGCAACTCGGATCCCCTGTGGTACAGCACTCACTATGACTGACTCAGACCTGTGTGTTTGACTGTGGTAAGGAACTGAGGCTCACAGAGGCTAAGTGGCTTACTGAAAGTCCCACAGCTGGGGATCGAGGGTGGGATCAGTACTGAAACCTAGCCAGTGCTATAACCTGGTCCATGTATAGTGCCACACTATGCACAGTCCTCTCAGAGAGCCGAACAACTCATATGCAATGAGAAGAGGCAGCCTTGGGAATCATGAGGTGGGCAATCAGGGAGGCTTCCTGGAGAAGGAAGAGGAGGCCAAGCTTCAAGGAGGAGTTCCACATGGATCCACTCCTTTCCTGACCACGGAGGGCTCTGTCTCGGGCAGCTCAACAGGTGACCCTTGCCTGGGCTGGGGGACCCCGTAGCACAGTGAGGGTGCCATACCGTGTCCAGCCCCTTTCTGCACCAGGCCTGAGCCACAGCCTGAGCAGGACAAGCAACACTGAACATATCCAGATCATATAGATAACTGATGGGAGGGGGGCCACGCCTACAATCCGAGGAGGTGGGCGGCTGAGGCAGGAAGATCGCTATAGGTTCAGACCCAGTGAAACTGCATGGTAGACCCTGCCTCAAAAGAACAATAGAAGAAAACCAAAACGGTGGTACTGGGTGCTGTCAGGGGCATGATCACAAGTGGCAGTGCTGGCCACATCCTGAGAGCTGGAGGGAGGCCGAGCCAGACCTGAGTGTGGCTGGGAATCCAGCGGGCACAGAGGGTTGGAAGGAGTTCTGGCAGGGGGCTGATGGTCCAGGTGGGGCCCTGTGGCTGCTTGACCTGCATAGAGGGGGTCCCGGTGGGGCTGCAGGGTGCTGTGGAGTGGAGTACAGGCCTGGAGGCGCCGGGATCTGATCCGAATGCAAAGGACATGCAGATGTAACCAGGGGAGTGACGGGTTCAGTTATGCATCCTGCAAAGCACACAGCAGCTGCCAGCTGGCAAATGGCTGGGGGTACTGGGGACACAAGGGCTTGCGCTGGCAGTGCCAGCCAGGCGGTGTGGGTGGCGGTGGGATCAGAGCTGAGACGAGGGGTGAGAGGGAAACCCACAGTGACAGCGCTGTCCCCGCCCAGGCCTGCGGGTGCGAGATGTGCAGATCCAGGTGTCCCGGCAGCAGGTGGAAGAGCTCTTCGGGCTGGAGGACTACTGGTGCCAGTGTGTGGCATGGAGCTCGGCGGGCACCACCAAGAGTCACCGGGCCTACGTCCGCATCGCCTGTATGTCTCCCTGATGCCACCCCCACCACCTCTGCCTCCTTCCTTGTCCATAGATGTCCGGGAGGGAATTCCACACTGCAGAGCCTCCCACATCCCTGCTAAATAAAGATGCCCACCTCACGCACTGGGCACACCAGTACAGCTCAGATGGGTTGTATCAGATTTCTAAAGGCTGTCTCACCTACACAAGGAAGTTTTAGCCTCCTCGCACACTGGGCTACCATGAACAAAGGATCCCAGAGTCAGGGAGGGACCCCCAGTTCCCTTAGTTACGAAACAGAACCTGCCCAGGTGAAACTAGTTGTCCCAGAACATCTCCTTGGTGTGCACTGCCCCCTCGTGGCCACAAAGGGCACTGCAGGTCTTCATTCTGCCCTCACCTGACTTCCCTCCTGATGCTCTTGCTTGTCCCAGACCTCCGCAAGAACTTTGACCAGGAGCCCCTGGGCAAGGAAGTGCCCCTGGACCACGAGCTCCTCCTGCAGTGTCGCCCGCCAGAGGGTGTGCCAGTGGCTGAGGTGAGCAGGATGCGGGAACACGGGGCAAAGTGGACGCCAGCAGTGGTACTCACTACCAGCCATGGTACCACGGCCTCCCAGAGCAACAGACCCGGAGAGTAAGGCTTGTCACTGAGAAGAGTCAGCCACCTCTACAGGCTCAATGCAGGCCAGATGCCAGCAGGGCCCCAGGTCCTGCTTCCAGCACCACCTGCCCCCACCCAGAACCCAAGGCCCAGCAAGGATGCCCAAGTGTCTTATCATCATGTGCACCACCCCGTAGGCTGGCAGCTCCTTCTGCTGGTCACATGGCCTTTGGGTCCCTTAGCAGTGCCCCTGCCTATTCCCCCTCCACCCTTCCTTGGGTGGCCAGCATGTGCCCCTTCCCACTCATACACTTGCTCAGGGGCCCAGGAATTGGAGCCAGGCATGGGGGACACCCCTGGGGCTCCCCCATGGGCTCACCCCTGGGGGCCCAGAACTAGGGAGAACAGGTTTCTCATGTGGGATCAGCCTTGTCTAACCCCAAAACCTCACTCTACAATTCTGCCTTCCTCCTTCTGAGGCCTCCTCTGGAAACGAGTGCAGACACGTACCTGCTGTGGTCAGAGTGCCATGAGGGTTGGGCCTAGGCACACCAGACTTCATAACAGCCTGGCAAGGTGGATGAATAGCTGGGAAACAACATTGGGGTGTCAGGGGGCCACCCAGGGAGGGCAGCTAGTGAGTGGAGAGTTGGAATTTGACCCAAGGAGCCATGTTCCTAATCCCCAGCCTGGGCCTGACAGCGAGGATGGGGACTGGCAGCTACTGCATGCTTGGTACTTACTGAGCTAACCGTGTGTCCTCCTGCAGCCCTGGGGGCAGATGCTGTTGGTAAATCCAGGCCTCTGTGGTAAGTGCCCCCAGGGCTACCCAGCTGGTAGGGTGTGCTCAGCCACAGTGTGGCCCTGTGGAGGTCCCACCTGGAGTGCCCCTGCCGTGATGTCCTTATTGAGGTGTTGTCCTCTCTGCAGTGGGCCACAGGGGAGGCAGGCCTGAGTCCTCACTGCCCCAACCCATTCCCACAGGTGGAGTGGCTCAAGAACGAGGACGTTATTGACCCCACCCAGGACACCAACTTCCTGCTCACCATCGACCACAACCTCATCATCCGCCAGGCCCGCCTGTCGGATACAGCCAACTACACCTGTGTGGCCAAGAACATCGTGGCCAAGCGCCGGAGCACAACAGCCACTGTCATCGTCTATGGTGCGGTGCTGGGGTGGGGGTGAAGAGGGCCTGGCGACACACATCTCCCCCACTCAGGACCCCCAACAGAGTGAGAAGTGAATTGACTGAGGCCACATGGCAAAATTAAGGCACCCCTGGGTCCCCAGCCAGGAGCTGTCCCCTTTCGGAGCCCCTTGGCTGTCTCTGAAGGGGAAGACCCGGTGCTCTGAGATCAGGTCTCCATCACACAGGGGAGCTGGGGCTGCTGCCCGGGCCTGAGCAGTGCTCTCCACTGTCCCCTGGTCCAGCAGTGCGAGGGCAGGGCCACAGCTGCAGAGACCACAAAATATTATCCAAGGACCCCAGCCTGAGTCCCAGGTCCCCATCATGTCCCTGATAAATGCTGGCCCTCTCTGGAAGTTCATCATTGTAGGGGGCCAGGGACAAAACAGTGACCTCCACATCTTTCCTGTGCTGACAGTGACAGCGCAGGGCGACAAGCTGATGTCCCAAGTTCCTGCAGCCAGGACACAGTTGTACCAGCAAGCCACGCCTCAGGGTTGGGGTGGGCTGGGAAGCCAGAGAGTCCCAGGGCCAGGCCTAACCGCTGATGGCTGCCATCCCTACAGTGAATGGCGGCTGGTCCAGCTGGACAGAGTGGTCACCCTGCTCTAACCGGTGTGGCCGTGGCTGGCAGAAACGCACTAGGACCTGTACCAACCCCGCCCCGCTCAACGGAGGTGCCTTCTGCGAGGGTCAGGCCTTTCAGAAGACCGCATGCACCACTGTATGTCCAGGTGAGGGCCACTGGCCGGGCACCACCCTGCCCACCCAACCGTGCCCCAAGACATCCTACTTGCATGATGGTGCTGAGACAGGGCAGAAGCTCGCCCCATGGCCCACAGCCGGCAGCTCGAGCTGGCCTAGGCACTCTGGCCTCTGACATCATGCTGTGTCCTGGCTGCTGGGAAAATGAAGGCCAGGCGCTCACTGCGGTCTTGGACAGACTCCCCCTCCAACTGGGTTCTTCTGACCCAGGATCCAGACTTGTCCGTACCGAACTCTTGTCTGTGGACCCTGATGCTCCTAACAGCCATCTCCCCTCTCTGTCTGCCTCTTCCTGTCTGTGAGTCCCCATCGCCGTGCACATCTGACTGGTTCTCTGTTTTTGGATGTGCGGAGTTGAGGGGATGTTTTTCACCCTGAGCTCCTATCTTTGCACTTCTGACTGTGCACTGGGCTACGTCTGTGCCAGTGATCCATGTGTCTTTGACGGCTCGCTGGCACAGGACAGAGTGGGCCCAACATGGTTTCTCAGAGTGGTGAGCATGTGTCTCAGCTTCCTCTCCCCACCCCGGGGTGTGCGTGTGTGCCCGCGCTTGTCAGCACATTGCTCTCTAACTGTGCACCGTGCCAACAGTGGACGGGGCGTGGACGGAGTGGAGCAAGTGGTCCGCCTGCAGCACCGAGTGTGCCCACTGGCGCAGCCGCGAGTGCATGGCGCCCCCTCCCCAGAACGGAGGCCGTGACTGCATTGGACCACTGCTGGACTCCAAGAACTGCACCGACGGGCTGTGCATGCAGAGTGAGTCCCCGCGGCGTGGGGTTCTGGGTAGGGGCATCTGGAGCCAGATGAGGGACCCGCACCGCCACCCCAGCAGCCCAGGCTTTGGTGTGGGGCCTGCCGTGAGGCTGCCCTCAGAGCCTCCACCACCCCATTCCTATCATCTCATTTACATCACGTCCCCATTACCTTTTTTTGTCATCCTTTTCCTATCACCTGTGTCATTGTCTTTCCCTTTATTTCCCTTGACAGATAAGAGAACTCTAAGCGACCCCAAAAGTCACCGTAAGTCCCCTTTCATGACTGTCTTTCCTTCGGGTGCTCTGGTCTGGTCCTCCTTGGCTGGCTTTTCCTGAGTGTGGAGAGCAGGGCAGGAAGACTTATGGTGCCAACCCCTGCCCCTGGCACTCCAAGCATCTCCTCCTCTGCCACAGACAGACTGGCCTTTGCTCACGGAAAGGGCCTAGGACTCACATGACCCTCCTGTTATAGTGTGGGAAACTGAGTCGCAGACTGGACTCACCTAGGGCCCAGCCTGGAAGTAACAGGACTTGAACCCCAGTATTTTTTGTGGCCAAGGCTGTGCTCTTGCCTTTCTCTCTGGGACAGGAACTGGGCAGCACCACATCTGCCTCCTTTGTGGCCCACATTGCTAAGTGCTGCCTCCTGAGCCATCTGTAGGCCACCACCCTGCATCAGCTCCCGAGGGGAGCCTTGTCCTCGGCCCCAAAGGGCTCCTGCCACTGCAGTAATATCAGAGCAATAAAACCTCTTCGGCAGATTGGCCTGTGGTAATTAAACCACAATTTCCAAATAATTCTGGAATTATAAAATCAGCATTACGGCCCTCAGCTCAGCTCACTGGGGGACCAAACTGGTGGCTGATTAGAGAGCATAAATCACCAGGCAAGTGGCCCCGTGTGAGCAAGAACATTAAGATGCAGAGCAAAGCTGGAAGAGCTTTCTTCCTGCTGGGCAGGAGCCTTCAGAGAAATGGGAGCCCAGGCCTGAGGGGGATCCTTCGAGGGGAGCCCAAAAATGAGGGGAATGGGCAGATACATGAAGTACACAGACATTCAGAATAGAGAGCCATGACCTATGTGCTGGAGGGCTCAGGCTGAACCAAGGGCTCGGAGGACACCTGGCAGGGCAAGCAGGCCTGTTTTTTGGAGAACGCCTCAGGCTGGAGAGTAAGGGTGGGTACTTAGAGCAGCCATCTTGGCAACCGCCATCTTGGCTCTGCCTGGGCCTACCTTGTGGTACCCCAGCCATATGTGGCTACTTACTCATATTTAACTTAATTTAAACTAAATCAGTTTTAAAATCCAGCTCTTCAGTTGCGCCAGCCATTTGTATCTAAAGGCTGCATACGGAATTGCACAGACTTAATAGTTTGGCCACCATAGAATGTTCCATTGATCTTACCACCTTCCTACTTGGCCATAAGTAATTACATCTAACTTCAGCCTGCTGTGGGGAAGGAAAGTTTAGCTATGGGGTTGCCAACTCCATCCTTATTGCTACCTGCTCACCACCTGGCCACCCCATTGCCTACATCTCACCCCATTCCACCACCCATCTCTACTGCCATCTCTCAGCACAGGGTGGGGAAAGCTTGCAATGGTTACTTACAAAAATTTTAGGGGGCCCCAGGACCTTTGGTCCTATAAAAATGGCTGCAGGCTGGGTATGAGATCCTGTAGTTTAAATCTCAGCTCCAGTGGGTCAAATTGTATTGTTCCAGGTCTCAGAACAGGGAGCTGTGAGTTCATTCATAGTGTGATCATGTTTGTTCCTTTGCCTCACTGCTACTCTGAGAGGGTGGGTGGAAAGCACAAAAGGGTTTTGAGACCATTTTTCTAATGAGGACACTGGCTTAAAGAGGCCCTGGGCTTGCCTGAGGTCACCACCCTGTTGCAGCAGGGCTCAGATCCCCGTGCATGCCAGTCTGCCCCAAGCCCTGGCCCTTCCCAGGACCTTAGCCTTCACTGGCAGTCTTGGTGTGTGCCTCATGTATCCTCCTGTCCCTGCAGTCCTGGAGTCCTCAGGTGATGTGGCGCTGTATGCAGGCCTCGTGGTGGCCATCTTCGTGGTGGTGGCGGTCCTCCTGGCAGTGGGAGTGGTGGTATATCGCCGCAACTGCCGCGACATGGACACTGACATCACTGACTCGTCTGCCGCCCTCACTGGTGGCTTCCACCCAGTCAACTTTAAGACCTCGAGGCCCGGTAAGGACCCAAGGATGCCAAGGGTGGCGGGTCGGTTAAGGGCCCCTGGAGGGAGGGCACTACTGTTCCTTCTGACTCTCTCCCAAGATTTTCCCAGAGTTTGTTCCCAGCTTGCTGCAGCAGGTGGCAATGGAACCTTCACAGTAGACATTTGAGTGGGACAGGAGGCCCTGCAGGAGCAAAGGGCTGCAGGGCAGAGCGTGACCATCACCCCTCTGCAGGCAACCCACAGCTGCTGCACCCATCCATGCCTCCCGACCTGACGGCCAGCGCTGGCATCTACCGAGGGCCTGTGTACGCCCTGCAGGACTCGGCTGACAAGATCCCCATGACCAACTCTCCCTTGCTGGACCCTCTTCCTGGCCTCAAGATCAAGGTCTACAACTCGAGCACCACCGGCCCCAGGCCTGGCTTGCCTGATGGGACTGACCTCCTGGGCGTCCTGCCACCCGGCACTTACCCTGGCGATCTTTCCCGGGACAGCCACTTCCTACACCTGCGCAGTGCCAGCCTCGGGTCCCAGCAGCTCCTGGGCTTGCCCCGAGAGCCCGGCAGCAGTGTCAGCGGCACCTTCGGTTGCCTGGGCGGGAGGCTGAGCATCCCTGGCACAGGTGCGCCATTTGCTTCTCACCCTGGGCTCAGCACATCCTCACTGGGCAGCCCTGACACACCCAGTGTCAGGCAGTGCTGTCCTCATCCTGTTGCTCAGATGGGGAGAATAAGAAGGGACCATAAGATAGAGAAGTCAGGGCTAGGGATATGGCTCAGCAATACAAGCGTGTGGTCCTAAGTTTGATTTCTGGTACCAAAAAAAAAAAAAAAAAAAAAAAAAGAATAGAGAAGTCTGATTAAAGACACAAGTTCAGGCCTGCATGTGTCTTCAGAGCAGGGTAACTATGGGCCAGCCACTCTCCAGGCCTCAGTTTCCCTATCTGTTCTTTGGGAGCGTAGCCCCATAGAGTCCTACATTCTTACAGAGCACTGTGTGGGTTCTAGGGGCAGGAAGGGCAGGGCTGCCCATCCCAATTTGCAAGCCCAGCAGGTTGACAGTGTTCTGGAGTCTTGCCCTGAGCTGGGCATGGAGCTGGCACTGAGATCCTGTCTCCCTCCTCCTGACTGGAGATCACCCAGAGCTCAGATGTCATCTGTCCCTGCCACAAGCTATACTGGCTTCCATCCCTCTTTGCCTGAGTACCAGCCCCACACTGCCTTCCACCCTTGCCTGCTGACCTTCCTCTTCCCCCCAGGGGTCAGCCTGCTGGTGCCCAATGGAGCCATTCCCCAGGGCAAGTTCTATGAGATGTACCTGCTTATCAACAAAGCCGAAAGCACCCTGTGAGTAGAGATCTCTTCCCTGACCCAGCTACGCCTCCTCTGCCCCTCGCTGTTAAGCCTGGTCCCCCAGCTTAGAGTTCCTCTGGGGAAGGAAGGCCTTGACCTTATGTCCATATTTAAAACATGCAAAACCAAGTCATTCAAAATATGCAAAGCTTAAGTCATACAGATGAACAGCAGTTGACAAACTAGCTACCAGCATCACAAAGAGTTAATATCCCCACTATGTAAAAAGCTGTTATAAACTAAGAAAAACTGAATGCCTCAGTATAAAAATAGACACAAGATGTGAACAAGTGATTGCACGTTGTTTCTCTTACACACACACACACACACACACACACACGTGATTAGAAGTTTCTAAGGAAACATTCCACCTCATTTGTAGTCAAAGAAAACAGCCAGGAGATACAGGGAGGTTTTTGTTTTGTTTGCTTAAGGATTTGCAAGATTTCATGTTTCAAACAATGATTCTCCCTTGCTGCCAAAAGTCCAGGCACACGGCCCTCCCCGGAGTGCTGGGAAGGGTAGATTGGTACCAGCTCTCTGGAGGGCAGTCTAGCAGTATCTCTCAAGACTGATCCAAAAGTGCAGGACCTTTGGAACTGCACCCAGAGATTTGGCCGTGAGAATACTATGGTGTCACCTAGGGACAAGTTTATCCATCTTCCCTGTCCCTCCACCCATCCCCATAACCTCTGCCCGCACATAGGCCACAGGCAGAGCTGGGGGCCAGCTGGACTCTGTGCCCTTGCTGAGTTTTTTGGTTGCCCCTCACTGCCTCTTCCCTGTGCCCTGCCCCAGGCCCATTTCAGAAGGGACCCAGACAGTGCTGAGCCCCTCGGTGACCTGCGGGCCCACAGGTCTCCTGCTGTGCCGCCCCGTCATCCTCACCGTGCCCCACTGTGCGGAAGTCAGTGCCGGGGACTGGATCTTCCAGCTCAAGACCCAGGCTCACCAGGGCCACTGGGAGGTGAGCAGCACAGCCAGGGAGGCGAGACATAGCCGCTTTTCCTCCCAGCACAGCCTGGGAGGCTGACTGTCTCCCCTGGCCCACAGGAGGTGGTGACATTGGATGAGGAGACCCTGAATACCCCCTGCTACTGCCAGCTAGAGGCCAGGTCCTGCCATATTCTGTTGGACCAGCTGGGCACCTACGTGTTCACGGGCGAGTCCTACTCCCACTCGGCCATCAAGCGGCTCCAGCTGGCCATCTTCGCGCCTGCACTGTGCACCTCGCTGGAGTACAACCTCAGGGTCTACTGCCTGGAGGACACGCCCGTGGCACTGAAGGTGGGCGCCCACATCTGGCACACTGCAGGGGCTCTTCTGGCCTTCCTTCCCCTGCCCAGTTGCATGGGACCTTGTGGGCTCCTTCATCCCCTCCACATGGAAACAGCATGGGACTCTTAGGGCAGAGGTGAGGCCATGTTTCCTGCCACACCAGGCTCTAACCCCAAGGTGGAGAAAGACAGGGAAAGTTCTTGGGGCTACTCATGAGTGTCTGCAGAGGGTTTAGGAAGCACCAGAGGAAGGGCTGAGAAGGCTGACCATGGACCTAAGCCCCAGGGGACAAGCATTTCAGGCAGTCAGAACAGCCGCTGCCAAGGCAGATGTGCCAGGGCTCAGCTCCTCGGGAGCCTTGGAACCTGTTCAGTGGAAGAGGTAGAGCCTGAAGATACCAGTTGACAGGAGCTTTTCAGAGAGCCTCTGTGGCTATACTGTGGGGTGTGTGGATGAGAAGCAGAGAGGCCAGCTGGGAGGCTGGGCTACAGGGAATGACCGGGGCCAGGAGAGGGGCCTGGACTGCATTTAGTGGGTAAAATGGACAGGCTGGGGCTGGTGGGATGCACAATCGGAGCGCTTGGGGCTGTCAGCCAGCCCATGATGGATGCAGAAGAATGGGTGATGGTGCCCCTAAGTGAGGGAGGGGCCATGGCAAGCATGGAATCAGTGGGACAGAAAAGGAGGGGAGGAGAGGGGACTGGTATGCACCACCCACCAAGTGCAAAGCCCCCCACCCCACCCCGCCATGAAGCCTTGTGGTCCTGTCTGTAGCTCCTGCCTGGGCTTGGTCCCCCTGGGTCCTTGTCTACCAGTCTCATGTGACTTGACTCATACTTCACGATGTGGACTGATGCAACATGGGTGAAAGGGCCCTGGGGAAAAAGGAGCGTCTCCTGCTGGGGTCACCAGGTCTGAAATTCCAGGAGTCTCACAATGGGGTGCAGGCTTCTGGGAAACACTTTCAGCAGATCTCCTAGTACTGAGGCGTTGGCTGATGTCTACTTTTGGCCAGAAAATAACATGAAAATCAAGAAGGAAGGGGCCACACTTTGGCCTGGTGGCATCCTTTGGGTTTTCAACCTCACATCTATTTATCCATCCATCCTTCCATTTTTCTGTTTGTTGTAGTCAGGGGTTGCAAGAGAATAAGACAATACAGAACACATAACTCACAGTATTAGTTTGTAATAGCCACTTAAGAGTTACATACAAGAAATGTAGGTCTATACACTAATGACCTAGAGAATGCAGCTGAGGGCTTGGATCCCATGGCAGTGTCCTGCATGAGTTCAGCTGAAGGTCCAGAGTCCATGACAATGCTTCCTGCAAGTCCAACTAGAGGCCCAGAACCCACAACAGTGACTTATGCAAGTCTAGTTCATCGATCTGCACTGGGAAGGCCCAGAGGTCAGCAGTGGAAGCTAGAAAGTCTAGGCCAGTGAAATAAAGGATCTCTGCCAGTAGGTTAAGGGTTCTGCATTGGAGCCAAGAAGCAATGCTCAAAATAAGAATCAGGGCTACACTGAAAAGTACCACAGCCATCCTCAGCTACAATGAAGTTCTAAGCTCTTCTGATAATGAGAACAGCCGAATTCATATCGGGAAGCCAGCGTGATGAGCTTCTCCAGGAGAGTGAGTGACACATCATTCTCCCCTCTGGAGCAAAAAGCAATGCTCAAAGTCGGGAGCAGAGCTCCCCCAAAGAGAACCACAGCCATTCTCAGTGACAAGGTCCTGAGTTCCTCCAATGATAGCAGCCAAGTTCATACTAGGGAGCCAGCATGACAAGCTCCTCCAGGAGAACCAGAAGCTCCAAACAACAGCACTTAGAAGAACCCACACTTTTTCCTCTCCAGGTCTCCTTTTTATGCTAGCAACAGTCCTCCAGTGGACCATCAACACTCACACCATGCTGATTCAGTTCAGTTGACATTACAAGTTGACCACCAGTTACCAGTCCACCTCACTGTTCACCTATCCATACATTTGTCTGTCCATCATCCATCCGGCCATGTATCTTTCAAGTGTCCTATTCGTATACCCATCCATTTGTAGGTCCATGTGTCCGTGTTTGTATCTCTGCGGTTATCCATCCATCTGTCCACACGCCATCAGTGTGGACAGTCGCCTATAAATCCATTCATGTGTCCCAGTCTCTGCATCCATCCCTCTGCTCTTCTGTTCACCCACTCATCTTCTACAATCATCATCTAAAGCACCAGCTAAATGGTCAGATCGATTCTGTGCTCTGTGTTCAGATGGGCCCTTCCCCATAACCAACTACAGCAGAAGGGGGTACTCAGCTCCCCTTCTCACTGCTGGTCCACAGGAAGTACTGGAGCTCGAGCGGACACTGGGTGGCTACCTGGTAGAGGAGCCCAAGCCCCTGATGTTCAAGGACAGCTACCACAACCTGCGCCTGTCCCTGCATGACATCCCCCACGCTCACTGGCGGAGCAAGCTGCTGGCCAAGTACCAGGTGAGGACTGAGCCTGGAAGCAGGGCCAGGTCCCTGCTCTGTGCTGATCCGAGTCCCTCCTGCTCTCTGTTGCCATCACTGTCTCCTCCCTCTGGTGCCCATTCCCCCGGTCATCCTCAGTGTATCCCCAAGTTCTGAACCATCCACAGCCACATTCACTTCTGCCCTTGCCATACTCTTTGTCTCCATGAGCCTCAAAGAGCCCTCTTCACGTGGGTGTGGTGCGCATGCCTGACTGTACTCATCTCTGGTGCCCACATCATTGTCGTACCCTGCAGTGTGAAACCATGGAGTCTCCCGGCCCAGACACACATGCAGTAAACACACTCTCCCCTCCTCCTAGCCCATTTCTCAATGCCTTCCTGAACCAAGGGCCTGACCTACCCCCAACCCCTGCCTTGGGGAACCTCACCGGCAGCCCTGACTGCCCTCCTACAGGAAATCCCCTTCTGTCACATTTGGAGCGGCAGCCAGAAGGCCTTGCACTGCACCTTCTCCCTGGAGCGGCACAGCCTGGCCTCCTCCGAGCTCACCTGCAAGATCTGCGTGCGCCAGGTGGAGGGGGAAGGCCAGATATTCCAGCTACACACGACGCTGGCTGAGGTGAGGCCTGCAACTCTTCCGGCCTGAGGGCTGCAGCGTGCAGACTCTGTGTTCCCCCTTCATCTGGGCAGAAATGCTGTCCCCTGTAAGACATCGCTCCAGTCAGGAGTGGGACTTGGTCAGTTTTGGCCAGCAGCCATCGTTTCCTGAATGGTATGCAAGTGCCAGGATGTGCTGGGTGATGTAATGTTACTCCTGACCACTAGGGACACAGTTGTCCTGACCCCCACCTGCAGGATGATTCAGCAGGTATTAGGGAGGACAGGTCTCTGCACAAGGTCACAACAGTGGCAAAACTGGATTTGAACGCAGGTCAGGGATTCCAAGCTAAGGCTCTCCTATAAACCCAGATCACCTAAGGTAACAATGCCAGATCTTTCTTTTGGTGCAGTATAAAAAGCACTGGACACAGGTGTGATGGCATATACCTGTGATCCCGGAACTCAGGAGGCTGAGGCAGAGCCAGCCTGTGCTACTAGAGAGACACTGAGCACAGATCTCGACCCAGTTACACTGCTCATTTGCTATGTGATCTTAGACAAGTCTCTTCCCCTTTGTATACCACACTTTCCCTGTGTATGAGAAGGGTCAGCATGAGCTGTCTAGACCATGAGTAGGGCTTCTGGGCCTCCTGACTGTGAGGCTGTGTTGGCATTTGCCTGGTCAGTGCATTAGCACAGTGCAGCCCTCACCCTCAGAGAAGAAGCCCTTGCCCCGGCAGCTGGAGACTCCCAGAGGTAGTGGATAGGACTCAAGCCCCAGGGCACTGCAGGCCCACAGGGAGGCTGGAGGGGCTGATGCCCAACACTCGGCCCTCTCACTCTTCCTCTGCCCTTCCAGACACCTGCCAGCTCCCTGGATGCCCTCTGCTCTGCCCCCAGCAGCACCATCACCACCCAGCTGGGCCCTTACGCCTTCAAGATCCCAGCGTCCATCCGACAGAAGATATGCAACAGCCTCGATGCCCCCAACTCACGGGGCAACGATTGGCGGCTGCTGGCCCAGAAGCTATCCATGGACCGGTGAGTGTCCAAGCCCTCGGCCATCCCACTCAATTCATTCTCCAGGTCAGATGTTCCCAGTCCCAGGGTGCCCATTTGTGCTGAGTCTCCTTTGAGGCCATGCTCAGAGCACTGGCCAGCAAGAAGGCAGGTTGTGACTGCCATACTCTCCTGTGGCACAGGGAAGTGCTCACCACCCATCTCCTGGGATGGGCTGAGAATCGGGTGCACCCTGGACACAAGCTTGGTGTGGCCACCGTCACCACCACAGTAGCTGGGCTGAGCGGGTGCATCTGAAACACTTGCTAAGTGGATGTACCTTGATGTGACAGCTTTTGCAGAGCTGCAGATGCTCAGCCCTTAGGATAGCAGTGGTCACATTGTTCTTATTGAAAAATGTGTCATCAACCTGCCTTGAGCAGATGCTATGAATAAGACGTCCTCCTAGGAATGAGAGGGACTTGTAGAGCTGGCTGGGGCTCTGTTCCTGCTATCCAGGGGAGTTCATAGGGCAGAATCAGAAGGGAACAGAGTTGGCTGGATGAGAAGAGTGTGGTGGCTGGGCTTGGACAGTCCCTCCTGGTGTCTGCCCAGGCTCGGATGTGGTCCTGCAGTGCTGGGAGGTGACTCACTCCATCCCCATGTTAGAGATGCAGCTGGGGCTCAGCGGGGTACACCTACAGCCTTTCCACCCACAGGATCCTGGGAGGTGCTAAGCACCCCAGCAATGCCCCTCTCCTTGCCTCTGCCAGGTACCTGAATTACTTTGCCACCAAAGCGAGCCCCACTGGTGTGATTCTGGACCTCTGGGAAGCTTTGCAGCAGGATGACGGGGACCTCAACAGCCTGGCGAGTGCCTTGGAAGAGATGGGCAAGAGTGAGATGCTGGTGGCCATGGCCACTGACGGGGACTGCTGAGTGCCCGGAGTGAGGACTGGCAGAGACAGGCAGGAGACGGAGCAGGGAGGACTGGGACGGCCCCCCAATGGGGACATTCAGCCTCAGCTGTGTCTCCCAGCCTTCAGCAGGAGCCGCTCCTCTCCTCCTGCTCCTCCTCTTCCTCCTGCTCCCTGCCAGAACCCAGACCAAGACCAGACCACGACCAGCCTTAGAAAATCCATGTGCTCCATTGCTGGAAGTCCCAGAGACTCTCCTCCCCTGCCATCTCTCCTGGATCACAGCCTGTGTGACAGCAGCAGTTAGGGACAGCAGGTGGCCCTCCCTGCAGTCCTCCCACCTTCTCCCTGTGACTTCTGGGTCCCCTTGGTTTTCATTCCATTCTTGGTTTGTCCCCAGCTGTTGGTTTCTCCCTCCCTCACTCCAGCCCTCAAAGCTCTCACACCCTTTCCCTCATGAAAAGTTGAGTACAATTCCAGAAAACCGCTTTCTCCTGTCCACGGTGAAAAGGAAAAAGAAGGAAAGAAAAAGCTTCAGACTCTAGTGAGGCTCAGAGAAAAGAAAAACACCAAAGCCACAAGGGAAAAGAAAAAACCCAGTTTCTTAGGAAACGCAAATAATTTATTATCCAAATATTTGGATAAGTCCTTTTTAAGAAAAAAAAAAAAAAAAAAACAGAAAGAATGAAAAAAAAAGAAAAAACTTTTCCTGTATGTGGGTGAGAGTTGGCGTGCTCAGGTTCTGGCTAGCAGTGTGTGCATGTGTGCGTGCATGTGTGCAAGTGTGTGTTTGGGGGAGAGACTGAGCAAGGTGTGCTTTCTGCTAATGAATCCGTCTTGGGCTGAATTCTGACAAGGCTTCGGTTTCCCCAGCAGGGAGCAGCTAAGACAGGATTTTAGTCGTGGCACCAAATCATCCTCCAAACTCTTAAACTGAGGCTGAATTGGTAAGGAGAACAGGAGGGAACCCTTTCCTCCCACAGCCACAGGCAGACACACCCCGTGAATCCAGATAAAGAGGCTGTCGGGTGGGTAGTGTGGGCACCCAGGAGGGAAGTGGGGGGCAGAACTCATTCCCCAGCTCTCATCTGCACCCTCCTCCCTTGTGGCCTAAGCCATTGTGAAAGTGGCCTTTTTGAATGGCCAGGGTGGCCATGGTGGAGGAGGTGACCCCACTTCCCAAGGATGTTCTAGGGGATGTGTGAGTGGGGAAGTTTGAGTCCCCATACCCTCTGAGCCAATGGCCATCGCTGGGGCCAGGATCTCACAGTGGGCACAGAGCCCTCATCCAAGGCTCCTCCTTGGCACCCAAGAATGGGAGGTGCCAGATGCCCCAGGCTCTGGGCACTGGCCCCAAGGGTTATGCCAGGAGCCCCTGGACACCACTGGGGCCACCTGAGTACCCCTGATCTTTGAAAGTCTGGTCTTCTGTCCCAGCCAGTGTCTCCAGCCCATCTTCCCTGTTATGGGCTCATAAGGTGGAAGTTGGCCAGGGGCTGCTAAGACCCTGCCAAAAGGTTGGCAGGAAGGCTCCCACCAGGAGAGCTGCTGATGGAGGCAGGCAAGGAGCGCCAGCTCTGCTACGAAACCGCTGTGTGACCTCAGATATACCGCTACCTTCCCTGGGCGTTTGCATCGGCACCCTTTTCATGCCCAAGAGGCCCCACAGCTGCTGTCTTGGGCCCTTTGGGTTTTGACATACCTTTTTCTGTCCTTCCTAAGGGAACCCTAGTAGGCAGAAGTTGGGGTGGCCTGCGATGCCATGTCCTCTCCTCTGGCCCCAAGACAGGAGCTCCTGGCAACTGAGGTCCAGCCAGCCATTTCCAAGGGCTGGGAGCCCAAGACCATTGGGCTGGAGCCTCCTGTCGGGGTCGCACTGTTCAGCTCCGTAGGAAAAGCCTGGAAAGCACTTTCCAACTCCACTAACCTGCTGAGGTGCTGCCGCAGGGCAGCAGCAGCTCACAGTGCCAGTGGGACCTGGCAGGCAAGCACAGAAGGTTCCGCCTCTTACCTCTGGGTTTGTATGAGTGCGTGCGTGCGTGTGTGCGTGCGTGCGTGTGTGTGCCCATGCGTGTGCTTTTATCCTTGGGCACATCAGGGCGCCCCCCAGCGTGCACACCTGCTCCACCTGCGTGTGGGGCGTGGCCTCCTCTGTGCCCCCGGAAGCCCCGTGCCTGCTTCACCCGCCCTTCGCCCACAGGGTCCTTGTATCTCCTACGTGCCTCTCTGCCTCCTTTGGGGCCCAGCCTTCCACTTGGGACCCTCCTCATCTCCGGGATGGCCCAGGGCCCCCTGCCTCCACTGAGCTGGGTCCCCTCACAGGTCCTCTGAGAGGAGGTGACCGGGAGTCTGGGTGCGGGGGACAGCTCTGGGGACAAAGGGCTGGACCCTACCTGGGCCACGACATAGTTATATGTCCTAGGGGTGCAGCACTCCAGGGATGGCCCCAATCCCACCTCCACTCTGTAAACTACAACCTGTAAATAACGTTTAGCATTCCTATTGTAACAAAATTAATTTTTATGAAATAAATTATATTTCCTAGTCTAATAAAAAAAAATCCAGGCTGTGGTCTGCCATCTTTTGGGCTGTCTGTTGGAGCCTGGGAGTAACTGGCTCTTCTCTAAACTCCAAGAGGCAGAGGGGGCAAGGAGGCCACTGTCATTCAGGGCTGTGGGACCCCTGCAATGATGAAGCTCAGCAGCCTCATTCTACAGAAGAGAAAACCAGCCTGGGGAGGAACACGGACCTCCCTGTGCTCGCAGCAAGTCAGCCCCTGCAGGGTCTGGATCCAACCCTGCTCACTTTCTGTATGAGCGTGGGCAGAATCTGTCTTCGTCTCAGGCGTTCCAGTCTGCCATGGCTGGGCAAAGGGCCAGAGGGTGACACAGGTGAGGCCTTGGATCAGAAGGGTCCCTTCACTGGGGCTGAGGTAGAACCCTCCCTTGGGGCAAAAGAACATTGTGCAGGCAGAAAGAGAAAGAGACACAGGCTGAGACTGTGGGGCTCTGAACCCAGGGCTGCAGTGCATAGTTGGGCAGGCTGCACACTTGGTAACAGTACCCAGAGCGCATGGTGCCATTCCCACAGACAGTGCTGGTATCCTAATGTGTGTGTTTACTCTGAGGAGTTTCCAGCAGAGGGCAGTAAAGGGGCCTGTTCTAATAAAGTCAGTCTGTTGGTCATCTTTTCCCCCAGCTGGTGAGGGAGCATCTTTTTCTAATCTGCAGTGGCCCCTTCTGCTCTGAATAGATCCTGTGGTCTCCCAAGCTTGGCGTGTGAGCTCCTTTTGGCCCAGCATGGGGAGTCCCTGTGCCTGTCAGGACGGTAAAGTCTCTAAGAAGTAACGTGTGAGCAAACATTTCTTACCACAGGGGTCCCCAATGTGTCTGGCCATGGGATTGTACCCCTGTTCAGGCTCAGAGTATGTGGTGCCTGTGGGCCCTGTCAGCTATGACTTCATGGGACCTGTGGCTAGGGGTCTGTGCCAGGACTCGCATGGGTAACCCAACCAGCGTATGACCCAGTTCGGGGCAAGGCAGGCAGGGCACAGCATGCACACACAGGCCATAGCTCAGACTGCCTGCCAGCTGGGCACCAGGGACTACAAGCAGCCACTCAGTGAGGCCTCCCCAGCAGAGGTTTTATAAAGGAGAAAAGGACAGCTCTGTGTGTCTGTGTGTGTGTGTGTGTGTGTGTGTGTGTGTGTGTGTGTGTGTAGGGTTGGTGGGCACCATGGCCCAGGGAGGGGTAATGGGCCTGGGGCAGGAATCTCACCCATAGGCAGACTAGGGTCCCCAGGACACCCTCACCGTCTGCCTGACGCTGACACAGGCCAGCCCTCTCCTGCCATCTGGACCTTGGAAGCTCACCTGGAAACAGATGGTGGGGGGCGTCAAGGAGTGGTTGCCTGGACAGTAGGGGACCTGGGTTTCAGTCCTAATGCTGTGGGAGACACTGTCTCTATCCAAGCCTGTTTCCCCATCTAGAGTGGAGTGAGGCTTTCTGTCTTCTGCTGCTTGGTAATGGGGGGCGGTATGTAGGCTGAATGTGACCCTCCTCTCTCACAGGTCCAGGTCTAGGTGAGAAGGAGCCAGAAGAGCAGGGCTGGGTGGCTGCCAGGCAAGGTGCCTGAAGCAGGGGGCGACGGGGTACAGCTGGCCTATGTCCCTGTCTGGTTGGCAGCAACCTTCAGTCACCATTGTGGTCCAGGAAGGGAGCCTGGATGGAGCCCTAAGAAGGGCAGAGACACCCCAACTCCAACCATGGCTCCAGGTCAGACAGCAAAGTCTCCAAAACCTTTGCCCATTTTAGTTAAAAATATAATGTGTGGGTACCATTTAACACATTCAAAGGATACAACAGAACCTGCACAGACTACACCCCAAAACCCACCAGTCCCTCTGGAAAGTCTGTGCTGACACAAAAAACAGGGTGCTGGAAACATTGTAATACCACAGATTATAATATTTCACATCTCAGCCTCCAAATGAACACACAGGAATGGTGTCGCTTTCCCAGTAACTGTAGAAATGCAGGTCACTGATACCCTCTCTCCACTGGGCTGCTGGCCCCTGACCCACACCTCCTGGCCGCCCCTGTCTCGAGCCCTAGCATCTTGGGGCTCCACTGTGATCTTTGATGAAAGCCCTCCAGCACCCCCACCCCCACCCCGTGCAGCGCCTCTGGGCTGGGGTGATTTTCCACACCCCTCTGCACCTCCTACCGCTGCTAGGCCTCCTTCCTCCTCTTCCTCTGCACCCTGCCACAGGGAAGCCACTCTCAGACTGACTCCAATCCACCCCCAGCCCCGAGGCCTTCCTGGAACTGAGTCCCAACCCTGTTTCTACCATAACCCTGCCCCCCATGGTAGTCCTAGGGAGCCAAGAAGCCTGAGGTCAGGAGCCCCCAAACAGCCTGGGGAAGAGCAAGAGTCCACGCTTTGCAGGCTTCCTTGCTGTGCAACAATTTTTCCCCAGTACTGGGGCTGAACCCAGGGCCTTTGCACTGAGCTACATCGTCAGCCCTTATTTTAAGACAAGTTCTTGCCAAATCACTAAGTTTCTGTCTTGAATTCCTGACCCTCTTGCTTCAGCCTCCCAGAGCCCTGGGATTACAGGTGTGAGCATCACACAGCATGCCCAGGACGCACAATCTAGAGGGGAGACAGACAGATGGGCCAGGACGGCAGGAGCTCACGAGGCTCTCTGCTACCTCTGGAGATGGTATCTTTCCCAGCTGTACCCTGTGTAGAAGGCACTTCTAAATTCACCCATTCTTTGATGAAGTTTTGTACTGACAGAAGATGCTGGTATCCTTTCAGCAGGTGACTGACACATGGGACTGCTGTCTGCCCAGGGTACAGCTATGCGCTGCAGCCTGCACCAGGGTGTATGCATAAGGCAGTGTCCTGTCAGTGACTCCAGCTCAGTACCCATCACAGCTGCTTCCCACCTGGGGTGGTGGCCTCTCTCCGCAGCCTCTCCTACCCGACAGAGACAGAGTCGTTGAGTCACATTTTCCCAGCTGCCAGTGCTAGGGCAGAGGCCCAGCATCACACTGTGATGACCCCAGCTGCCCAAAGAGGGTCCCCTGAACAGAGCCTGTGGCTAAAGACAGCAGGGCTCTTCAGGACCATTCCACACACTCCTGGGGTGGCAGAGGCAGCTTTGGCTGTCAGCTCATCCATCCTCACCTGATGCGGGAATTCTCTCCACCATGGCTCAGATAAGGGCTTCCCAGGTCTCTGCTTGAATGCTTGCAGAGACAGGAAACTCACTGCTTCCTAACAGTAATAATAACAGCTTGCTTGACTGCTTCCTTCCTTCCTTCCATCCTTCCTTCCTTCCTTTCTTCCCTCCTTTTCCTTTCTTTTTTAAACTGGGAAGCGAACCCAGAACCTTTACATTGGTTCTGGTACATACATCCCCAGACTATTTATTTATTTGTTTGTTTGTTTGTTTTGGTGGGGCTTTTCCTCCTCCCATCTGCTTTTACTGTGAGCAGCAGGTGGCACACTTCTAACAACAGTTAAAAAAATTAATTTACAAAAGGAGGAATTCAGTGAAGCTGCCAGGCTCTTACGTAGATGCCAACCCAGAGCCTGTAAAGAGCAAGGCCACAAGAGAAATAAGGAGCTCTTTGTAGATGTCCTGTGTGTGCTTAGCAGAGGTGACCTCGTAGATGAAGAACCGGGAAGTGAAGAACATGACAATGGCCAGGAGCACCACGGTCAGATGGGGGAGGACAGCCAGGTTGACTGGGCTGGTGTATCTGCTCAAGGCTTTGAGCTCCATGTCACCACACACAGGCTAAGCTGTCACTTGCCACTGTTTGTTTTGTTTTGTTTTGTATTTGAGACAGTCTCACTGTGTACTTCAAACTGTCCTTGAACTCACTATGTAGTATAGGTTGGCTGCAGACTCACAGGGATCCTCCTACCTCAGCCTCCCAAGTGCTGGGATTACAGGTGTGCATCATCACACCCTGCTTTTATTTTTTATTTTGAAAGAAAATCTTGCTACACTACTAAATTGCCTAGGATGGGCTTGAACTCATGAACTTTATGCCCTTTAAGAGGCAGAGCCTACTGAGAGGAGGTCAGGTAACTGGGATTGTGCCTTTCAAGAGTACATTGGCATCCCAGCTCCTTCTTCTTTTGGTCCCCTCCCAGCTGCCATGATGTGAGTGAGCAGTTTCGTTCCACTGTGCATACACTGATGTGACGTTTACCTCACCACAGGCCCATAGCAACAGGACCAAATAACCATGGACTGAACATCTAAAATCGTGAGCCAAGGAAAACCTTTTCCTCTTTTAAATTGTCTGTTACTTTGCCATGGCAATAGAAGGCTCATACACTTTCACAACAAGGCCTAGTTTGACCCTCACGTGTCAAGGAGGACAAGACCAAGCCTGGCACATCACCCCAACCTTACTTCCATGGGCCGCCTTTCCTACTGCTGAATGTACCCAGTTCCTCGTGTGGCTTGGCCCAGTACCACATGCTTTCTGGTGCACCCTCAGGTTTCTGGTGATTCAAAATGCAAACCATAGCAAAATGACTTCTCTAGAAAACAACCACCAATGAGCATTCTAGACTCACTGGAAACATACTTCAAAAACATCGCCAGACCAATAAGTTGAGTCCACGGCTAACTGATTGACCTCAAAAGAGATACAAAAGGAGTGTCTCAGGCTGACAGAAACAGTTGTAGGAGGAAGAAAACACGGGAAAGAATAAGGAACAATTCAGGGTGTAAATGTGTGAGTGGATAGAAATTAATATGGGCTGTGAAGAGGAGGTGATAGCTTGTGAGTTTTAAAATAATGTATAATTAAATTACATGTGAAAAGTAACACAAATTTTGGGTAGGGCAAATGGAATTGACATGTTTTCAGGCACCTGCATTACCTGAGAAAGTGGAGAATTTCCTAAATAATACTAGAATCTAATAGATTGTGGGTGGGTAAATACAATATCGAGTATTAAACATATAAAAGTAAGAAATAGGGGCTGGGGATTTAGCTCAGCGGCTAAGCCTTGCAAGCAGGCAGTCATGAGTTT